AAAGCAGTTGTGAAGCGTGTCTTGCGTTACTGCCTTCCATGCGTTCGCAAGCATTCCGACGCAGACCGAAGGTCAACGCTGTAGCCTTTCCCGTTTTTTGAGCACAGCACCATGCGGCTGAGTATACGTAAACGATACAAAAGTTTCAGATTACGGATAACGCCTTGGTCCATCGGTTGGAGGATCGCAGTCGTGTTGGGCGGCATGAATTTCAGCTGGATAGCCTTCAAGTTATTGATGTGACCATGAGCAGCGCAGTTGTCAACGAAGAGTAGAACACATCTGTTCTGTTGTTTAAACTTCCTGTCCAACCTGCGGACGTAACTCAAACAACTGCTGCGTTACCCATGCCTTTTGTTTGGCTTCGCATAACACTGGCAGCGTTGCTCCTTTAAAACACCTCGGGCTCTTGGACTTCCCGATTACTAACAAAGGAAGCTTCTCGCTGCCAGACATGTTGCTGCTGATAAGAACGGTCAGCCGTTCTCTGCTATGCTTGCCACCATGGCATGCGTCACCAGCAAAAGCGAGTGTTCTTTCCGGCAGCAGCTTGTAAAACAAGCCAGTTTCGTCGCAGTTGAAAATGTTGTCAGCAGAGAACTGCTGCAACAAAGACTGGAGTTTTCCACTGCGGTACTGCGCAATAACTGCACTGTCGACGGCGCCCCTTTCGCCACACATCTTCTTGAACTCGAGGTCTTTCCAATGCTTAAAGTTTCTCAGCCATCCATCACTGAACTTAAAATCCGTGATGTCTATTCGAAGCGCGAGAGTTTCCGCTTTTTGTTTCAGGATGTAGTCCGAGACAGGCAACCGCTTCGCAATCATTGCACACGACGAGAGCGTCCTCAAGGTTCGGATGAACACCTTGGCTTGCATTCATTCATCTTTTGGGCACCAGACGGTTTTTTGGCCGCTTCCAAGATCTTGTCTTTGTTCCTCAGGAAATGGGAAGCTGTTTGCTTGGAAATACCGAACTCCTTGCTCACGTCAGCCTGCGATCGGCCACTCTTCACTAACTTAATAATGACGGCTTTCTTCTCCATCGTTAACCGACGGTACTGTTTTCCGCGCTTCGATGCCATCGGCGAGGACGACGAAGGCGGAGTGGGGGTCATCGAAGGCAAGCGAAATCCTCACGATGTGAACAAAGGAGTTTGCTGACGAGCATCGAAGCACCTAGGCTTAGCGTTGCAGAGCACACTTCACACGATCGCACAACCACGCACTAGGCTAGCCAAACACCATGTGGCCTGTGTAAACAAAACGGCGCGACCGCAGGCGACGGTGCTTCATGTACTCCAGAGGTGGCGCTGGTAAACATTCAAGATAGCCAGCATGGCCAGACCAAATCGGTGTGTGACGGTTAGTTCTAGTTCGAAGTGGTGAAACGCTTCGTGAAAGCGCTGTGCGGGAAGCCAGAGTGGTACGCACGAGCACAAGCGTTAAAGCTTGTGCCAAAAAATTTGCAGGTGGATAGCTTCGATTGTCAGCGAAGCACCCTTGCACGATAAGCACGGCCAGTGTTAGAAATCTCGGAAGCCGTGTGTGTTTCTCCGCTAACGATCAACGAGTCCAAGAAACAGATGCCGCCACAGTAGACCGGTGCGCTGATTTATTCGATCGTAATCACGTGTGACGCAGTTGTGGTGGTTTCCACTGGAGGTCAGTGGTGCTTTCCGACCTTCCGTCGCTTCAAAAAGTCCGGAAAATCGGACTCCGGGTGATTCGAGCGTTCGAAACTTCAGACTTCCTTATACCTTGATTCTATGGGGCTTGTGGCAATGCCGCGAAGATGTCCAAATTATCGGGCATGTCCGAAAATTCCGGCGTCCGAAAAATCGGCAGTTGGCTGTATATGAACCTTATGGCTTTCCTTTGCAAAGATTCCAACTTTGCTACGTCACAAGCTAAGTATAGTGATGAGACAACCGACGCGTACTCCAAAATTAGCCTGATTAGGGTTTTATATGTAGCTAATTTGTAGTTCTTAGTAGCATCCCTCAATGTACGATTTAAGTAAAATAATTTACAAAGGGCTTTCGAGTGAATGCGGTCTATATGTTTTTGCCATTTCAAATTATGTGTGAAAGTCATCCCAAGGTATTTAAACTCATCTACGTGTGTATGTATAATGTTAGTTCTACCATAACTGTAATGAAAGTGTTACGGCTTAACCTTATTGGTGAAGGTCACAGAGACTGTCTTTGCCAGGTTAGCAGATAGTTGCCAGGAATCACTTGAAGTACAGAACCTAGAAAAAACCTCATTTAAAACGAACTGGTCAACACTTGTGAAAATTACAGAATATTGAATGCAGTCATCTGCATAGGCATGAAGTTTAACTGGGGTATTTTGAATTACCTTAACGTCATTATTATAGATGACTAATAAAAGCGGTCTCAATACAGAGCCTTGCGAGACGCCGGATTACACTTCGATGGTGTTGGACTTGGCTTTGTTAAAAGAAACATACTGATGTTTACGAAGCAGTTATTCCGTGATCTAGAAAATCAGTGCATCAAATCTTTATTACCTCACAAAGCTTGAAAAGAAGTTTTCTGTGACAGACAGAGTCAAAAGCTTTGGCGTAATCTATAAATATAGCATCCAGCTGACCTTGATTATGAAGTACCAAAGCAATGTCATTCGAAAACTGTCGTGACTGTCGAGTAGCCCGGTTGAAAACTATGCTGGCAGGACAAGATCACATCATTCTCAGTTAAGTACCGTAATTACTCGAATCTAACGCGTACCTTTTTTCCACTTAGGCGAGTTCATAAATCGCATGCGCGTTAGAATCGAGTACGAACAAAAAAATTACGGTCAATCTATTGCCATCGGCAAATCCAAAATGGCCGCCCCCCACGTGCGTCTGCATGGCGCGTCGGCCATTTCTGCCTATGTGTTTCCCATGTGCGGCACTTCATACGTGCTGAGGGGTTCATCATCTAGTAGTGCATTAGCATCGACAGCGTGGAAGGGCCGACTCCAAAAACTCGAGTGCACCACGATGCCGCTTTTAAAAGAAAAGTCATCGCGTGTGCAGAAACGGACGGTAATCGGGCCGCATCGCGGTCGTTCGGAGTTCCCGAAACGTGCATGCGGGACCGGCGGAAACAAAAGCAGAAGATTGTCGACAGCAAAGCTTCACGCAAAGGCTTCAGTCGACCACAGCAGGGTCGGTTTCCGCAAATTAAAGAGCTGCTCGGCGAGTATGTGCTTGAGCAGCGAGCGGCACAGCGGCCCGTGACGACAGAACTGCTCCAAGTGTGGGCAATGCAATTAGTCTTAGAAAAAGGTCTAATGCGGAGCCAGTTTAAAGCGAGCAGGTGCTGGCTAACTAACTTTATGAAGAGGAAAGGCTTTTCCCTCCGAAGAGGAACATGCATATGCGAAAAGTTTTGCGGAGGAGTACGATGAAAAGCTTCACAGTTTTCAGAGGTTCGTCCTAAACTTGCGGCGCAACAACAGCTACCTGCTTGGGCGAATCGGGAATGCCGATCAGACGCCTCTTTACTTCGACATGCCTGGCACCACAACCGTGGAGAAGAAGGGGGCTAAGCAAGTTCGCATGCTGACATCGGTCCACGGTAAAACTACATTGATGGCAATGCTCTGTTACACGTCAGATGGGCACAAGCTTCGCCCGTACCTCATATTTAAATGGAAGACGCTCCCGAAAGCAGTCGTTTTTTCGAGTGGTGTGATCGTGCGGGCCAGCGAGAAAAATGGGTGCGCGTTGCAATCGATGTATTAAGTTTTTTTTTTTTCCGCTGTGGAAACGGGTGCGCGTTACAATCGAGGGCGCGGTAGAATCGAGTAAATACGGTACTTAGAAATGTGTTTGTGTACAATGTGATCCAGTAATTTACATGTGGTAGATAAAAATAGAATTGGCCTGTAGTTAGAAATTATTTGCTTGTTATTGGACTTAAAAAAACTGGGATGATATTAGTGGTCTTCCATATCCAAGAAACGGTAGACGTCTCAAGTAGCGAGCATTCCACTCAGAGTAACGTTTAAGAAAAATGTTAGGAATGTTATCAGGACCACCGCTTTTGGTTGTGTTAACATTCAACAAAAAGTTATGTACACCTGTCAGGGAGTGCTGGGAGGGCGGAAGGGTTAAAAGGGTGGAGTGGAGCCATCGTCATCAACGAAAACAGATTGAACGCCTCAGAAATGCAGGAAGGCTCAGGGGTTCCATCCATGAAGATGACGAAGTACTAGAGTCTTTAGGATTGATTGTTTTGCAGAACCACGAGGGAATATATTTGAGAACAGATGATAGGGTGACGTTATAGTAGAAATGTCTCACCTCATACATTTTGGCTTTTAGTGTGGTCTTTAGTGAGCTTAAAAGACTAACTAAGGAATGGTCTTTGTAACAGCATTTATGAACAAGCTTAACACGGCGCAGCAGGTAAATGCTTTCTCCATTGCACTATGGATGTCGTCTGTTGCACTTCACATATTTCATTTTCGGTTAGCGCGGTAGCGCCAGCAGTGACACCAGGCGGCAAGGCTAGGTGGCGGCACAGGACACATGAATGGCTCTCTCTGTCGCGTTGCAGCTGGCGTAATTACCTGTCTACTTTCGGGGTCCCGCGGGATACAGCGTCCGTGGGCCGTCTCCCCTGGGTCCCTAGCAGTGAGTCAAACATCGGCGACACTGCCTTCGTGTTACCTTGTATTTGTTCTTGTGTTGATAAAAAATAGTTGAATAAATGTTGTTTGGTTTAGTTTTACTGTGTCTGCTGAGTCCGTTCACTTCACGAGCATGTCTCATTTCGAGACCCCACAGCATTTAGAGATTTCAGTTTTTAACCCCATGAGAAATGCAACACCCTAACCTCATCATGTCAAAGCCACTCAGTCAAAATTAGAAGCAGAAACATTATACCATTGAAATCTTAAATACATTAGCAGGGCAGAAACTAGTTCATGGCATTCTGTCTCACACTAATTGTAAAGCATACATAATTTTTCTCACTCACCCGTTGATGCAGATGTATTGATGCCAGTGACAAACTCTGGCTGATCTTGCGTGAGTGGAGTGGCTGACCGCTTCCGTGAGCTTCCTGCCGACGACGGGCTGGGCACGGCACTGCCCCCGCCGGGTGTGGTAGGTGTGTGAGGTCCCCCACGACAGGGCTTGGGCGAGCTCAATGGTGTCGTCTGCACACTGCCGGGGCTGGGGTTGGCCAACCGACCACCACCAACAGGATGTGAGAATTGCCGGGCACCAGGGTCGGTCGCTGGAGATGCTGTGCCAAGACGAGGGGACGGCGACGTCGGTGGGTGGGGACTGGGTGCCATGGGACCCCTCGCACCGTACGGTGGCGGTGGCCCCTGTTGGAGACGTGGACTTGCGCCAGATGCGGGACTCCTCGGTGGTGGCGGGACGGTGCCTGGACTCCCACTGCCGCCTGCCCCGCCTGCCCCGTAGTTTGGTGGGCTGGACCCCGAGGACCCACGAACTGACGGCGAGAATGGCTGGAGTGCTGGACTGCCGCAGGGTGCGGATCCCGGGAACTGACTTCCGCCTGCGCCACACTGAGCAGGAGGCCGACCGCCGAAGGAGCTTGCAGCTGTCTGCTGCTGCTGGGCTACTGCACCGGGACTGAACACCATGCCGGGGCTGGCACCGGGCGCAGAAGGAAAACTAGATGATGGGCCAGCTGGACTGGCTCCCGGCGCACCAGGGAACCCCGAAGGCGTCGGTGGATTTGAGAAGGAACCAGGAGAATTAAAGCCGGCACATGAACTGGGCCTGTTGCCCGTAGAGCTAGCCACAGGACCCGTGGTACCATTATTGAAGTTTGGGTTGGGGCAGGATCCTGGCCGCGTAATGTAGCCACTGGGCGAGCCGGAGGCCGAGAACTCGCTGCCGCACGCTGGGAAGAGCCCCTGCGGTTGATTGGTGGCAGCAGCCCCCTTACGGCGTCGATCCTCGAGGTATGGCTTTTGGGCCGTCATGCCACCTTGCTGCTGCTGGGCTTGCCAGTCAGCCGGCGGATGGCCCATCATGGCTCCCTGGGGCCCTGCACAACAGCATGCCTGGTTTCCAGAGGCTGAAGACGTGATCCATTCTTCACGCTTCACTGTCGCTGGCTTCTGGTGGATGTTTCTTTGTAGCAATCCGAGGTTCTGCCCGTCTGGTTGAGATGAAACATTTTCTCTTTTTTTTCTTTTTCTTTTTTGTTGGGAACAAGGCTCCTGCGTGGGAGCTGAAACACCATTTAAGCCTTTGTTTTGCTACCGAAGTTTTCTGTCAACCTTTCTATCAGCCACCCGCTTTGAGGCAGGCAGCTTTTAAAAGACATTATATATAACTTTCACTACCTCACAAACAAAACACTCTAAAACTTCAAATTTTTCACACACTGTTGCCAGACCTTTCAGTTACACACTAAGCCTGAAAAGACTGTGCTGGTCAAGGCACGACTAAAATGCAAGCCATTTATTTCAGAATGAACAGAACCATGAATTTCTAGACATTACTCTTCTGGGCATAATCTGCAATGTCTCACAAGCTTTTGTTCAGACAGACGGGGCACAGGGTTAGCGTTACTGGATTCCTTGAATAAATGCAGTAGTCATTCTCATTCAATTGAGTAAAATATGAGGAACAAATTCTCCATAGATTGTTTGGAATATAAACGAAATACTCAATAAATAAATTGTTATCAGATAAACAAAATGAACATTACACTCAAACTAAAGCCCAGTAAACCGTGCCAGTGCTTGTCTCATCCATTCTTTGTGGTCCATCCTGATTTGCACTGAAGTTCTCACCTTGAAAGCCCCAGTAGTTACACAAGCAGCTCAGCAGAGTTTAATGATCTCACACTCATCACAAAAACACTTTCATTACCATGCAATCAAACTCCATTATAATTGGTGCACACCGGCAGCTAGAAGCGGTTGCGCGACTATTTGCGACTGGCGACCAAAAAGCGACTGATGTTGACACTGGCAGAGGCTGAACGGGAGCGACCGGAAGTCGCGAAACCGGAGGGTCATGTCTGAATTTTCATTATCAGCGAGAACTCTGGAGACCGGCACCGATTAACTGATCGCCACCAGCAGTGTGAGCGGAGCGAATCAAGCGCTCCGCATTTATTGTTTTCGTCCATTCTCGCACAGCGTTCTGAGCAGCGTCAAGGAGTTCGACTAAAGGAAAGAACAAGAGACTGTGATGGCGCTGATGCGCTTTGCCATGGTGTCAGTGCTGGCACAAAAGCCTCCAAATAAAAAAAGCCGGTGATGGGTGTGACCGACTCTTGGCTCGCGAGAGTTGGCCGGCCATGCAAGCCGCCTACCTCGTTAGCTGCGCTGAGACGACAAGGAGTATTTCCGAAAGTAGTGCGTATTTAGAAGCGCTCCTTGAATACAACTTGACATGCCACAGCCTTCAATGCAGCACAAACGCGTCTCGAATGCTAATTAGGCGGTACCAAGGCATGAAGCACAAACGCGTTCCAAGTGCGCTGCATTGAAGGTGGTGGCAAGTCAAGTTCAAGACAAAAAAAGGTTCCGAATACAAGGGAAGATAGTGCACAATCCATTTTCTCTTTATTTTGACAGTGTTAGGCTCCTTGCGAAGGCCGCCACGTAAATTCGACACTTTGCTCGAGCTGCTGCGCCCTGCCATCTCCAAGCCAAGTACTTTGCGGTGGCCATGGTGCCACATACTCAGAGGACCGCAACCATTTGTACCTGGCGGCAAGAGGCCAGCGCAATAAAAAAAAAAAAAAAAACAAAGAACAATGAGCCTCGATAGAAAGAAATGCTGGCATTACTTCTGGGCATCGCTGATTGATTCCAGCAGCTTTGCGACTGCAGTCGCGTGACTGAAAAATCGATCAGGAAGCAACTAGCCAAAGCAGTCGCTTTGTGACCATTTGTGACTGTTCGCGACCAGTTGCAAATGGTCGCGCGACTGGTGCTAGTCGCCAGTGTGCACCAACCATTACAATGAAACTGCATTGACAACAGAAATACTATATGTGTGCAAACATTGAATAGTATGTATTGAATTGGATATTAAGTTAAATCTGGTCAAAAACGCCAAATTTTGGTGCGAATTGAGTAGAATACTTTCGGAATATTTTTCGAATATTTTTGAAGTACAGTCAACTCTTGTTAATTCAAACTCGAAGGAACCTCTGAATGTTGTTTGAATTATCAGAAGTTCTCAGATAGATTACTCTGGGTGAGATGACACCACACATTATGATAAGGCATTGATTTTAACACATTAAAAAAATTTTTAAGTGTCTTTAAACCCTAACTACGTGCAGTGAACGGAAAGCAGATCTACAAAGTCCATAAGTTTATTGGCAATTTACTGCTGATCAGACCTTTTAAAGAAATCATGAAGTGATAACTGCTTCATTTCTATAGGTATGTGCTTTCAGCACAAAGCTCTCCGTAGCAGTTGAGAAGCATCACAGTTTACCATGCGTGTACTTCGTTTCAAACATTTGTTTGAAACAAAGTACATCATGCAGTGAAGCATCACTACCATGATGCTTCACTGCATCATGGTAGTGACGCGCAGGCAGCATGTTGCATGCTTTTTGCAACGTCAATGCATCATTATTTACCACTTCTTTCTGGGAATATAACGAAATTAATAAAGAACAGTGCGGCGGAATTTGCGATGTGTGCAAAATTCGAAGTACCAGTTGCTCCAACAACTTGTGCACTTGCACTGCTGGCGGAGTTCTGGCCTGCAACACCAACTTCGAAAACTTGGTTCGAAAGCTTCAGTGATCATGTTTTCCAGGCAAAACACATAGAGAATTTCGTCACGCTGTCCATTGTTAAATTCTTTATTTACCAGAAAGAATGGGCAAATGGTCGCATAATGAAGTGCTGACGCAGTGAGGACATGCTGCGTGTGTGTCATTACTGTGTTGCAGTGAAGACGTCTTGTTTTTTGCAGGTATGCATTGCAGTTGATCTTATGTCCCCCTCTTCTGGTGGCAGCTGAGAGTCCCAGCATCCCCCCTGTTTGTCGCAAAATTGTAACCAGGTATTGCTGGAAAACATAACCCTTGGTGCCACAAACTAGCCGGCACAGCAAACAGCCAGCCCCTATAACTGCGAATAATTTCAAGTTCCTTGCATCCCACTTTTTGCACTTTTGGTTCATACGAAAAACCTGCTCCGTTTAAAAATTTTTCACGGTCCCAGTGACTTTGAATTAATGAGGTTTTCAGCAAACATCTTGATCTCATCTGCCCACCCCACTTCCTGCTTCTCCCTCAGACACGTGCCTTCTCCCTCACACACAATGCCGAAATGGGAGGGTATCGCAAAGCAGTGACTTTTGCATTATTCGATGCCATTCTTATCATCCATCACTCGCAGCTAGCTGATTTTGTTTATAATGCAGACAAACAGCCGCTCTGATTAGTTACCACACTGGCCAAACGCAAACATAATAATAAGCATCGGTATCAGAAGAGGCATTATTCCGCGGTTGCACCCAGAAGCTGCGAGAAGGAAACCATGAACTATGAACCGAGCGACTGAGCTTTAGCTTCGGACAATCTGCGGCTCAAAAGCAAGCCAGCAGGGCAGTCTCATTGCCATCGCTATCGAGCAATGCGGGCGCCCATGCTTGCTGAACAGCGGTGGTTTCTGGTGGTGCCAACTGAATTTAGACTTCGTTGACGCATTTTCAGGCTCTGAAAATGCATCGAAATGTTAAAGATTGGGTTTACTGCATGCATAGCAATAAGTATCTGAGCCTGGAATTGGGTCATAAAATTTTGCTGAAGCGGGGCGACCGAACAAAAAGTGTTCGTTGTGGAGACAATATTTATGCATTGACTCCTATGAGCTGCTGACGGGGAATCACGAATTTTTCGTTTTAGCGAAAATTTCGTTGAAGCGGCGTTCGTTGTAGCGGAGTTCGACTGTATCAGTTTCCCCGGGTGATGACAAATGAAGGACATTATCAATGAATGCCCGTCGCTGTAAACATAATCTCATCTTTCATGTGACAAGAGGACATGAGCCATGCAATGTAACTTTCTGCTAAGCCTTACCTGGACCGAAGTGTTGCTGCTGCTGCGGCTGTGACTGCTGCTGCATTTGCGGAGGCATGCCTGCACCTTCATGCTGGTGGTCCCCACAGTGCCCAAACTGGTCGGGGCCCCTAGGGCGGGGGGGCACCCCACCCCCCTGTGGCTGCTGGGGAGCCCCAGTCTGCTGCTGCTGCTGCTGCTGGCCAGGGGGGCCTGTAGCGTTGCCCATGACTTGCTGGTCTGGGAAGAGCAGCTTCTGCATCTTACGGATCATCGCTAGCTGCTCTTCACGATGCTGCCTCTGCTGGGGTGTCAAGTTTTCGTCCGGCACTTTGACTCCTGTGAGACAAATCCGGCTTAACACTGTTAGTCCAGTGGCCAAGATATCCATAAGGCATAGTCAGAGACTTTTTCTCAATGTGTGCTGGCACCAGCCTTAGATGTAACAAGAGACCCTAAAAACATATAATATAGATAGTGTAAAGAATGTAGCCCCCTCCTTCCTTTTTTTCTTTCTTTTCATATATTCACATTGTATCTCTGAATCAGGGCGAATTTTTCAGCAACAAAGAAGCCTTTTTTCTGGAAAATCCATCAAGACTTGGTGCTACAAATGTGTGGTTATTCATTTCCATACAACCTTTCTGCCACTAAGCAGGATCTTGCATAACTTATTGCAGCATAAGGAGCAGCCCTTGCACAGTACCAACTTATCGGTCTGCTCTCTTTTTCCAACTCAAGAGTGCAAAATACTTCATTATCTTCATGCGTGCCCACCAAAAGAAAAAAAATAATAGTAGTTCTATTCATACTCCCGAATATAGCACACTTAGCAATTCTAGTTCGTTCTCATTACCACTGCTGCTTACACTCGGCTTTTAAGCACACCTTCAGGGTCCATCCATGACTTTCGAAAACTCGTTTTATTCTAAAACTTGTCACAATCACTCCTGATAACACTCTGCACAACACGACACATTAAGCATCCACAAACATGCAAGCAGCAAACATATGAATGCCCTCCGAATTCGCACAGTGAGCATGATTTTATTGGCAGATATTTTTTTTCAATTTTGGGCTGTCAACCAGAGAGGTTGACCTTACATGGGCTCAGCCATTGCACGAGTTTGTGTGAATTGCATGTACGTATGTACAGTGAAAGCTCGTTAATTCACACCTCATTAATTCGAAATTTTGGATAATTCGAAATGGTCGCCGCACTCCGATCCGCAGTGCATAGGAGACCATGTGTAAAACGATTCATTAATTCGAACAGAAATTGCTGCCTCTACGGATAATTCGAAGCGCATGTCGCTGAGCAGCATCACCGTCAACACTAGTGGTAAAATTTTTAAGTTTTTTCAGTAGTGTTCCCGCCAACTAAAGGTTAAAGCGGGATTTTATCTTTAACTTCTGACACTTCTATACAAACGTGCTATCCATATCGGCATTAGCATCACCAACTGTGGTATTTGTGCATTGTTCGGTTAATGTGCTGTTCAGCCTGCCATGTGCTCGAGATTTGCGCACCGTTGAATGACTCTGGGACTCTAGCTAGTTTTCTGCGGGACGTTTACGTTTTGGCACGATGGGCAAGCAGCTGAATAGCTATACAGCTGGCTATAAGTTGAAGGTGATCGAGTTTGCTCTCGAGCACGAGAAACGGGCCGCCGGCGGAAAATTCGACGTTGACGAGAAGTGTGTTCGACGTTGGTGCGCTCAGAAGAAAGCCTTGCAGAACACCAACATCAAAATGCGCGCTTTCCGAGGAAAACAGTGCAAGTATCCTGATTTGGAAAAGGAGTTGCTCCGCTACGTGACTGAGGTGCGGAACGATGGTTTTGCTCAAAGGTTCGAAAGCACTAGATGGCCACGACCAGTTTTTTCGAGCTTTCAAGTGGCCCCTCCGAGCAAAGGGCGAGCAAAGTATGGCCTCGAAATCCAGGGAGCAATTTTTTTTTTTCGTAGCCCTCCCGCTATCTCAGCGCCTAGCGCCACTTGGTACGAGGGGACCCACGGGACGCTGAGGAGTCGGCGGAGTAGTCTAGCAGCACTAGGCCGCTCCCGGCAGTGTCACTTTGTTCCTCGAGCACGTTGTTCGTTCACGAATGATTTTGTGCGCGGGCGACAGGAAGGACTTCGGCATTACGCTGCTCACTGCCATGCACATGTTGGTGTGCTTGACTGGGTAAAAAGTGTTTGACAGAACAGACCGAGAGCTTTGTTGGCCAAACATTCACTTTTAGTGTTGGGCAGTTTCCGCGGCCACCTTACCGATAAGGTGAAGGAGCAGCTGCGCCGTGTCGGCACAGACATGGCCGTGATTCCAGGCGGCCTCACAGGAATGTTGCCGATTATGTTGAAGTTGACACCGGTGCATCGGTGTGTGGTGCCCTGACTGATGAGGACATTATCGCTCAAGTAGCCGGTGCGCAGCCTGATGCAGAAGAGCCAGAAGGTGAGGAAGACGAAAATGACGAAGCGCCTGTGCGCCCGTCAGCTTCTGCGGTGATGGAGGCACTTTATGTGGCGCGTCTCTTCTTCAGCTTTGAAGAGGGTGAAGAGGATTCCCTGCGCCGCGTCCACGCGCTGGAACAGGGAGTCGCAGCTGTGGCATTCAGAGAAGAGAAGCAGATGCTCATCACCGACTTTTTTGGCCAATAAATATTTTTCGTGCCCCCACCCCCGAAATCCACCCATTTTTGCTCACTTTCATTATTTCGAATTTTGTTTAATTCGAAATTGCTCAGCATTCCCGTGGAATTCAAATTAACGAGCTTTTACTGTAGATGAATTGCAGTTTTGCTAGATGTCAAAAAGAAAGGAGGCTAAAAACACAAGTAATTCCAGCTTGCTCAAGTTCAAACTGTTTCCTCAAGCTTTTTTAAAATTATAACAAAATTTTTTTCTGTATTTCTTTCTGGTATGGCTCACTTTAGTTATTGGGAAAAAAGCGTCGCACCAACTAAATGACAGAAGTCGCCTTTAACGTTACTGCCAAATAATTGTATTTTCTGGGAGCATATCGAGTTACTTTCATTTTCGCAATTGCAAGCATAGGAGCTGAGAAATCATACTATGGGGGAATGTATCAATGAGGTTCTACTGCCATTTTCCTTTTTTCAAACTCAAGTTGCCCAATGATGACACGAATTGTCTGCAGTGTAATGTGACAGCGTGTTGAAAAGGCGAAAGGAAAAAAATAAACAGGCAAACCAACCAACGTTTACCGAAGCAGGGACGTCTCAGGCCAGAGTTAGCATTTGGACAAGGGAACTTGTTTTCTTTGAGGAAGGCTGGTGTTGGCAAAAAAAAGCTGAAGCACCTCCTTTCTGCTCGCTGTCTGTTGTGGCAGCTGACAGTGGGCAGCAAGGGTCACCAATTAAGTGGAGCACATTCGAGCTCACTCAAGCTCAGACTCACCAAAATCTTCCAACCCAGACTCACTCGAACTCTGAGTCGCTTGAATTTTTTTTCTCAACTGGGCTCACTTATTAAGACGTGTATGAGTATGAGTGCGCTGACTGATCAGTGATATTGCCAACGTCTGGAAGGTACTGCTGCTCACCCGCATTCATCTGAGCCGGATTGCCACCACAACCGGGTCCTCCCATGCCAGGGTAGGCCCCTCCGCTTGCGGGAAAGCAGCCACCGTTGGGTGGTCCGCAGCCTTGAGGATGATGGCCCTGCTGGGGTCCTCGGTTGCTGGCCGGCGATGGGCCCCGCTGCGGCGCCATGCCTGCGGGGCCGTAGGGGCCGGCCCCCCAAGATTCCTGAGGCTGCCAGGCAGCTCCTCCGGGATGGGTAGGTCCACACGCGTGAGGAGGGCCGCAGAACCCGGGGCCAAATGTCTGGGGGACCTTCATGGCCCCACCACCGGGAGTCGGTCCCATGGGGCCCCCCGGCATACCCTGGGCGCCTCGCTGCTTCATTTGGGCTAGAGTGTTGAGCCAGGCAGCCGGGTTCTGTTTGCTAAACTGCTGGATCTTGAGGGGGTGTTTCTGCAGAGCACACAACGATACACTTGTTTAGGATGCTGCGGAGAGCAAATGTAATCAAAAAGTGTCGTGGCCAAAACAACTGCTGACTTGGCGTGCTGGTAAGGTAACAACAAAACCAGCACACTACTCGGAGTGATTGAGGTACACAACAGAGGAGGAGGAAATGGAAATAATTGACACCTTGTCCTTCTGCCTATTTGTCTTTCTGCTGTGCACTTCATTTGATTAGCATGTGCCAACGATACAATGCACGACTAGTAAAGCAGGCTCTATCAAATTTAAAAGTATGTAGAGCTTTGCAAATAGCAGACTTTTGAGCGAATTCAAATAATTTTACAATATTTCACAAATATTTTTAAAATACTTCAAGGTGAAATTAGAGAAAAAACGTTTCAGTGTTCTATAATATAATTTAGAATATGCTCAGAGATCATAAGCATATTCTAAATCACAATATAAATAATTATAGCTGCACCATGTGCAGCTGGGCACCACCATATTGGGCTCTTTAGAAAGAGCATTTCTCCATCTTCAAATTTCCCACTTCAGTTGAAGTAGAAAAGTTCTTTCGGAAACAATTTCTCAAACAATTTTTCCTTCAGAAATATTCCAGTACAAAAAAGCAAATTTCTTAAGTTCGCTTTGAGGCCTTCGAATGGTCACGACCACCTGGTTGCTTCAGCGTGCCTTGCATTCGGTTCAACTCTAACTCCAGGAGTGTTGTCTGTTATTTGCGCTTTGCGAGGTCCCGGCTGTTTACAGTACTTAGTGACGCATTCACACTGGTTCTGTGTAGATAGGTCGGCGATCATTTGGAGTATAATTACACTTTAGTTAGGCACCTGAAAGCGGAACTTCAATAATCAGGTTAAAATAGCAAGCCATGCTTGTCATGAACGTCGCACATGTGCATCTTTTACTCATGCGATTCGTAGTTAGAGATTTTGGTTATCGGCCCTTTGAACCTTCCGAATTAAGACCGTCTGAGAAAACGCTTTTTACTTGCGATTGAGTAGGACGTACTTTGAAATGTCGGGCACCGCAGCTATGCACACTGCAACCCAGCTTACTACTGAGTGTTGTGGCTAGGCCTAACTTCACTCACAGCACTGGCGCACGAGACGAATCCGAACTTTAGATACAAGAACATAAAGCTAGCGGGCTGCATACGAAAACGAAAAAGCCGCAACGTGCTTCGTTGCAAGCAACACATTGCATCCCCTGTTGGCTCCTCGGAACCACAGATGAACATTTTAGGCGTCGGCAACGGACCCACTGGCCAAGCTCAGAGCACCGGTGGAAGCAACCAGCAGTTTTGCATGTTGACTCTGGAGGGGCTAACATCCCTTGTGAAGCTGTTTGTGCCTCAAGGTGCACGTGTCTCGCGCAAAAGCTGCAATTAGGGGCCACAATTATTGAGCGGTAGGTGGCGTTGTGCTTGTGAGCGCATTTATCGCCACCATCATCATCATGGTTAGAAAACGTTAGCGCCAGGGGCGAGGCCTGGCGGCAAGCCTTGGTGGCGGCGCGCGAGAAATAAGCTGGTCTTTTTCTCTGGTGGCGTTTGGCCCGAACAGTTGTCTCTCGCAGTGGGACCCCAGTGTACGACAGCACGGGCCATTCGTCGGGGGGCCCTTGTGGTGAGTCAGGCACTAGCGACACTGTTTTGTTTGTCGTGTTGTTGAAAGCTGTGTATTTTTGTGTAAGGTAGTTCAGCATGTGGACTACAATTGATGTAATAATAATTCGCTGAATCGTCGTTCTAAAAGTAGTTAAATAAATGTGTGTTATTTGCATCGTTCCGACCGCGTCTACTGTGTCCGTTCACTCCCAAGAGCGTGGTGTTCTCTCACAATGAGACCCCACAGCTCATAAAACGCATGACCAAGCATGCTGCATGTAAATTTTTCGTTAGTATAAATTGTTACATCTCCCCCCTGAAGTTAATTAAATAGTTCAAACAGTAAAACATTGTATGAACAGAGTCACTTAGCAAAGAGTATCAGAAAAATATTTGAAAATTGGAATATTTGCACAACCATAAAAACATCCTAAATCCATTCAGAACAGCATATTCACCTCAAGGATACGCTTAGTTCCTGGCTGTGCACAATGGAATGCAATGATGCTGGGGCATTGTCCAGTCAGCACAGCCTCGGCCGCCTGATTTGCCAGGCCTGTCGTGAAAACGAAGATCTGGCTCTGCTGCTGCATGTACTGTGCTTCCAAACCGCCACCACCAACACCTGCACCACCCTGCGGAGGCATGGGGCAGCCTGCTCCACCAGGGGGCATTGATGACCCCGATGGCGGCCTGTGAAGCCCTGAAGTGCCCATGTTGCCACCATGGGGTAACACCTGCGTAGTACAAGTACCAATGACTTATTGAAAATATTCGAAAAATGAGCCCCATTTACTTGATTGTATCGAAGCATTTCTTTTTCAAATTTTTGCCACCACCTGAAGCTGAGCCTCACCAATCAAATACTTGTAAGAAAAATGTCACAACACATACAATTTTAACCGAGACCTTCAGCTTCAGAATGCTTGTTGGCAACTAGTGCACATGCATCCTAGTTAAATATATCGCAAACCGGAACGTTTTTCTTTGTTCGGGCATTCTTCCAGTGTGTGCCAATCGTTTCGCTGGTGACTTCTATGGGTGAATAAGTCTTCATATCAATGGATCTAAGTTCCTGAGGAACAAGGAAAAGTGGAACCAAAGATGATGTCATATAGTGGTGATAAAAAATTCTGCCTTTCTTTTAACCCTTGATGAAGCAAATGTTGCTGTTCAAGAAATGTGCTTTTGCAGCTGTATGAACATGCAAACAGACTTAGATATACAGTTGAACCCGTTTATAATGAACTCGAAAGTGCCACGATAAATGGTCGTTATATCAGCAGTTCGTTGTATATAAAGCCGCCCATAAAAATGGCCACATAGTGGCCAAAACATTTTTTTGTGGATATTTTTTATTAAAAAGTGCGAACAAACCCTTCGCTTACAAGTTAAGCCTTTTCGCGTGTTAAACGACGCCCGTTTGCAATGAACTTACGCAGTTCCACTGAATCGCGATCTCCTGACGTTGAACCAGTCACCCCTGGCTAGTTGCGTGCAGAATGTCGCTTACCCTAGCTACTCTTGCCGTCGCATGCCAGTTCACTTGCAGTCCAATGTATCCGCGTGTTTGTGCGTTCTTCGCGCATGTTTCACTCGGGACTGTGCTAGGGTGCGGCGAGTAGCATGTTCGATTTTTGCGAGCAACGTGCGCAAGTGGCCTTGTATGACACGGCGGCGACGAACTTGCGAACGACACCATGAGAGGCTTGTACCACCAGCACTCCGCCGAGCAGTTATCTGCAGATGACTGTGATAAGCTCGCCGGCAGTGAGTCAAAATAGCACGTTCATCGCCACCGGCCACCTCGCTATCGCTCTTTTTTATGCTTATTCGTTAAGGCATCGCCACTACTGCGGGTAAGTTGTTATCATTAATCGACCGGTCTTTACTGTTACGCAGGCTTTAGAATGGTGAAAAATGGCCAAAAAGTCAATTTTTCGAATTCCTATATGCTAGGCTTATGCAAATAGAAAGAACAGTTGAGTATTCGAATTCACTTCGATTCGAACTCAAATTATCGAAAGTATTCACAATGAATGAATAGACGTATATTAGTCTGCATGATACCACCTGTAAAGATGGTTTCACTGCACTGTAGGGGTGCTAAGCCATGAAAGCACCTATTCAAGAAAAATTCGCTTTGCCACAAAGCCCTCCTTAAAATTTAAAGGGGCCCTGCAACACTTACTGAACATGGTCAGAAAACGCTGTCAATCGGTAGTCGAGGCTACCGAGAACACGCAAGGCAAATATTGTAGTGCAGCACGAGGCCTGTAATATATTTTCACAATAAATTTTCAAAGCTAAAGATTGCTTTTTTTCCTCGGCAGATGACACTACAAACTCAAAAATCACTTGTCACAGTCAAGAAGGAATATACGGCCCTGGTCACAACCATTGGCTGATTTGAGCATGGCACGCTCCTCGTCACCAGGGCCGCCGCTTGTCCACGAGTATGTGCGCAATCGCACTTGAAAAGCTGCGCATTCAAAGAAAAAAAAAAAGATGCTCAAGGTCACGAGGTGCATGTGACGTATTTTCTTTCGCCATGCCATTCTTCCCTACTTAGCTTCCTAGCTATTTCGTCGAGACTGGAAGAGAGAATGCAAGCGTGCAACAAATTTTTGGAACTCTGCTCGTACTGAACTTATTCTAGAAACTTTGTGGCAGTGAATTTGTGACGCAACAAGCAAGTTTACTGGCTCCACGACTACTTGAAAAAGTGTTGCAGGGCCCTTTTAAAGGAACATGTTAACCTCAAATCGATTCTTCATGATATTAAGCTTGTTATGATGGCTTATATGATCCAAGTATAATAAATTTAAAAATGTTAAATATCTTACAGGTTATCACTGGCATATACCGTATTTACTCGATTCTACCGCGCCCTCGATTGTAACGCGCACCCGATTTCCACCGCGAAAAAAAAAAAAAAACGTAAGACATCGATTACTACCGCGCCCTCGATTGTAACGCGCACCCGATTTCCACCGCGAAAAAAAAAAAAAAAACGTAAGACATCGATTGCAACGCGCACCCATTTTTTTTCGCTGGCCCGCACGATCACACCACTCGAAAAAATGATTCCTTTCGGGATTGTCTTCCATTTAAATATGAGGTACGGGCGAAGCTTGTGCCCATCTGACGTGTAACAGAGCATTGCCGTCACTGTGGTTTTACCGTGGACCGATGTCAGCACGCGAACTTGCTTCGCCCCCTTCTTCTCGACAGTTGTGGTGCCAGGCATGTCGAACTAAAGAGGCAACTGATAGGCATTCCAGATTTGCCCAAGCAGGTAGCCGTTGTTGCGCCGCAAGTTTAGGACGAACCTCTGAAAACTGTGAAGCTTTTCATCGTACTTCTCCGCAAAAGTTTTCGCATATGCATGTTCCCCTTCGGAGGGAAGAGCCTTTCCTCTTCATATAGTTAATTAGCCAGCACCTGCTCGCTTTAAAAAGGCTCCGCATTAGACTTTTTTCTAAGACTTATTGCATAGCCCGCACTTGGAGCAGTTCTGTCGTCATGGGCCGCTGTGCCACTCGCTCCTCAAGCACATACTCGCGGAGCAGCTCTTCAATTTGCGGAAACCGACCCTGCTGTGGTTCACTGAAGCCTTTGCGTGAAGCTTTGCTGTCGACAATCTTCTGCTTTTGTTTCCGCCGGTCCCGCACGCACGTTTCGAGAAGGACCACGATGCGGCCCGATTTCCGTCCGTTTCTGCACACGCGATGACTTTTCTTTTAAAAGCGGCATCGTGGTGCACTCGAGTTTTTGGAGTCGGCCCTTCCAAGTCGTCGATGCTAATGCACTACTAGATGACGAACTCCTCAGCACACGTACGAAGTGCCGCACATGGTGTATTTCCAGAGCAGCTAAAAGTAGCCAAAGTCACTGCAGTACATAAAGGTGGTGATATGAATACTTTAGCGAACTATCGACCTATATCCGTGCTTCCAACAATATCGAAAATATTTGAAGGGGTTATTTATGATAGACTTGCATCCTTTTTTGATAAGCACCAAATAATAACAAAAAGTCAGTATGGTTTTCAAAAAAATAAATCAACAGAACAAGCTCTACTGTATATCAAAGATAAGATAATCGAAAATATGGAAACAAAAAATATACTCTTGGGCTCTTCCTCGATCTTCAAAAGGCATTTGACTCCATACAATTCAAATCATTGATTCATAAATTATCAAGCTATGGGGTGCGTGGAGTTGCACTACAACTGTTTAAAAGTTATCTAGAAGATCGTTATCAATATGTAAAACTGAATAACACTATTTCTGCAAAGATAAAGTTGAACCAAGGAGTCCCCCAAGGGTCTATACTGGGGCCATTATTGTTCCTTGTCTATATAAATGATATTGTTGATATACCTCATTCTCCTGAACTTATAATGTACGCTGACGATACGAATGTTTTCTTTTCATCAGACAATCTAATATCGCTTGAGGTCAGTGTAAATAATTATCTAAGCAATCTTTCAAATTGGTTAAGGCAAAATGGACTGCGCTTGAATGCAAAAAAAACAACCTATATGATATTCCGACCTGTAAATAAACCTATTAGTAACATAGCTATAAAATTCGAAGGAAATTGCATCGCACATGTTAGGGAACAAAAGTTTCTTGGTGTATGGTTTCAGGAGGAATTAAACTGGAATACACATGTAAATCATCTGATCACCGCATTAGCGCGAATAGTTGGTTGTTTTTTTAGAACAATGCACTTTATCCCATTGAGGTTAAAAATAAGTATGTACTATGCACTCTTCCATTCTAAAGTAAGTTATGGGATGTTAGTCTGGGGAACGACATCACAAGGGAATTACCATAAGTTAATAACTATACAAAAGAAAATATTGCGCTGCTTTGAAAATTACAGGGGGAATCTACAAGACTTGCGCACTGCTCCACTATTCATTAAACATTCGATACTCAGAATTGATCAATTATATCATTTTAAATTACTTCAGTTAATACAAAAGACTAAGCTATATGAAGAAAGTTGCACCGAAAAGACCACACTACAGTATGCGAGAACAAAAGAAGCGAGCTCCTAGAACAAGAACCAAGTATGCAAAACAAAGTATTGCTTACCAGGTGCCTCAGGTTTTAAATACCCTTGCAGATCAATTGAACTTTAGGGCTAGTAGTGCGACTTTCAAGAAACAAATAAAGAACTTATTCATAACCACCGGTCTACACTATCGAAACTACGTATTGGAGTCTCATGCCTCTACAAATGCTTAAATTGTTCATAAACTTATAAGTCAATTATACGAGTGTATATCGCGGAATTCATTGTATCCACATGCTTCTTATGTCTGTTTTTGAGTTGTTTCATTGATATTGTTTAGTTGTGAATTATAACGAGAGTGACCTATAATTTTTTAAATGTGTTATGTAAACTTCTTATGCTATTTATGTTTGAATTTTGTGTTTACAATTTCAGGTTGCTTGAAACTAATGTATTGAATATATATATTGTTTAAGCTTGCACTGTCACGGACTGCGGAGGGACAAGGGCCTTTGTCAGGCTGTTCGCCTTTAGCCCTTTGCCCCTGCAGTGAGCTCTGTATCTGGCTTACTGTAAATAAAAATACTACTACTACTACTACATAGGCAGAAATAGCCGACGCACCATGCCGACGCACATAGGGGGCGGCCATTTTGGATTTGCGATGGCAATAGATTGACCGTAATTTTTTTGTTCGTACTCGATTCTAACGCGCATGCGATTTATGAACTCGCTTAACCGGAAAAAAGGTGCGCGTTAGATTCGAGTAATTACGGTAAATTTTAACATGTTAAATATCTAACAGGTTATCACTGGCATCCTACCGAAACTACCACTCATGATTGTTTCAATTTCCTTTGAACGAAAAAAAATGGCATTTGCATAGAGCCTATATTTCAATTCAAATGAAGTATTGTGCAGGTTAGTTAGGTCATGATAAGTATTCCCTTCATTTTTTATATGTCACACATATCATTTGAATTCGATTCGAAATGATTCAATCAAACTCACAATTCGCTTCGAACCTAAAATTCACTTTTCGCACAAGCCTACTATACGCATGGGTTCTGAAATTGTGGACGCTGAATTCGATCAATAATTGGGTTCAAATTTGTTATAAGTCGCTATGGGAGTAGCGAAACACCCTGCGGAAGGTAAAATTTGTTCGAACTTCATGTGCGCGCCGCTGGCAAAGCAGCCGGTCGAACGCCACCATCTTAAGCTCGTTTTGAAGCCTGATTTCTTTGCGCAAATTTTGCCGCCCTTCAAAATAGTGTCACATGAAAAGAACGGCTGCCCTCGCCCCTTTTCTGAAGCCCCCTGCCCGATCACTCATTGGCCAGAGTGCGTGCGCGCCAGGCGAGCCCCCTCGTCTCTCGCTTCCCATTGGCTGATGCGACCAACGGGGCTGCGATTATTTTTTTTTTCCTGGTTGTTGTTTGTCGGCCGCTGACTCCCGTCTCCCGCGTGTGTCCGTACGCTTCCCGCTCGTGCTACGCAATCGATGCAACAACTTCAAGTCTTTTTGCCGGCATGACTGGTGACGCTCGTCTAAAAAGGAAGATGCGCCAAGCGTACAGCAAGAAACGAAGGCGTCCATAGAACGCGCCGTAGAAAAAAGCCGACAATGTGGTGGTGTCTCATGGTGGTGTCAAAAATTTAAGCCTCGCAGGGAACTTTCACGCAACAAAAGTGATCGCTTCTCACATTTATGGCTTCTTGCATTCGAAGTAATTGTTGGTTTATCGTCCGCGGTCGTAGATGTTGAAAACAGCGTCAGAAAAGTTTGCTGTGCGAAAGCTGATTGGCCATTTTCTATGCTGCCTCCTATATATATATTTTTTTTTTATCCCCCTCCCTTCCGGTCTGCCTGTGAAGAAACGTCTGGAAAGTGAACCACCTCACTCGCTAACGTCCGAAATCTGCGTGCGATGCTCGCCGCAGTTGCTTGGGACATCGTCCGTCCCAAGCAAACTGCAGCAATACACATGCAAGCGCGCCTATCGATGCTTCAGAATGCCTTTTTTACCCTTTGTTTCCCCGCTTCGTGTGCGCTTTACTTTTACCCCGACCGTGTCGGAAATGTTCGTTGAATAAGTAGGAGGCGCTGAAAAATGTTCACTGTATCTGGCCTCAGTTTCTAAGGGTAGCATAGGAAAATCGTAAGTGCACCGAAATATGGTCGTTATAACCGATAGATCGTTATTTCTGGGATCGTTATAAGTGGGTTGCACTGTAACAGACCAGATTTCAACGTAAGCTTGATATTTCTATCATTTATAGTACTAATGCAACTTAGTTAGTTTTTAATGGACTGCGATGTAACAGAATATCAACTACAGTGAATAAAATTTTAGGGAATTTTTTTTAAATCGAGTGTGAGAAACATACTTTTTTTTAAGTCATCGCAGCCTAAGAATAGTTGAACACATGGGTGTCTTCGCTGGGAGCAGCCTTTGAGAGTTGAAAAATTACTACAGACTTGCTTTTTCGAATTAATACTGTGATGTTACCTGTGAAATTGCCCTAGCGAGATTGATGTTACCAGTAAAGTTACGGTAAAGTATTGCCCTTCAGCCTCGACAGTTCTTGCCACATTCATGACATTGTGTATGCAGTGGACGGAGTCCTCTGTGCTTTAACCTCCGAAAAGAAAATGTTGCCCACACTGACCTGAGGTCCACCCATGCCCGGTCCCCCCATGGGGCTCGGTCCTCCAACGGCCATGTTTCCCCCAGCCATGTGTGCAGAACCTGCGAGTGGGTTGCACTGCCCGACTCCAGGATGTGGCTGCGGATGCTGCTGATGAGGTGGTATCAGGTGCGAGGGCATGCCACCATGAGGGTGCTGTGGTGCCCCGCTTCCCATGGTGAGGGTGCCGCCTGCATGGTGGTGTGGGTGTTGTGGTAATTGGTGCTGTGGCACCCCCATGGGCTGTTGCTGTTGCTGCTGGTGTTGGTGCTGCTGTTGCTGATGCTGCTGCTGATGTTGCTGCTGCGTTGACATCGATGGCAGCATGGGGCCAGCCGCTGCTGCTGCAGCATCGGAGGCTGTGGAATACAAGAGACAATGTGGTGATGTTGGCAACCTGCAACCTCATGCCCTAGTTAAACGGACATGCTAACCACAGATACGACAGACCTCAGTTAAACCCAATAAGCTAAACTTAGCACCAACTGCAGTTGGCCCTTAGTGCACGGGAAAAGTTGATCTTAGTTAAGGGCCGTGAAGCAGGTCATGTCACACACAGTATTGCAAACAAAAATCTAAAAGGTTAGCGGTTAGCTGGTTTTTACTGGCATATACAAAGAATTTAACTCAAAATAAGTTTTTCCCCCTTGCATTTACAGTTTCTGAACGTATTCCATCAAATGTTTTAGATATAATTGAATTAAGTAAATGCTGGCCTTGTGACTACAGTCAAACCCACTCACAATAAACCCAAAAGTGTTGCAAAAAGCAGTCGTTATATCAGTATTTCTTAGTATATGGACCACTCCAGCACAGAAATGCTTCTGTGACCTAAACTTCAACTTCTTATATGATTACATCACAGCCATGAGGCTCCATTACAAGACGTTCACAACAACATCATTACAGACTAAGCTCTTGCAAAAATACACGTGAAAGACTCACAGGTTGGCACAGCCATAGCTCCCGGATTATCCTTATTGCCTGCGACCATGCCATCACCCGGGTTATCACCCAGCATGGACATTGGCGTTCCACCTGCAATCGGCATAGCAGACACTGTACGACACAGCTGAAAGAAGAGTGAACATGGTGCAAGCAGAAATTCGGTACTTGCGTTGCGCTGTTTGAAAACACGAAGACAAAAAAAACACACAGAGTACACAACACAAGCGTAAACGGTAGTTTATTTGATGAAACTATGACAAATATATACAGGGTGAAAGAAAGGAAAACAGCGGTAGCATGCGCAAAGCACACCACATGGGAATTGCCATCTGCGTCAAGCCATCAATGCTGTCCATGTCTTGTATCTAAATTTCTATGTAAAAATTACACTTCAATCCTACAGATGGTGCACTAACACACAAATCTTCCTAAACGTTGCAAATCATGAAGGCTTCAGTGATTTCTCTTTCCCTTGTATCTCTAGATTGCAATTCAACTGTTGCGCTGCTGACATCTGGCTAACATAGGCACCTGCTGCAATGGGTAGCTCAGTTACCAGGGCGACCAATGTGCTTATAGTCGTAAGCACATTTGGAAACACGCTTGCTTATATAGTACCAATTCAAATAACAAATGTGCTTGTGGAGAACTTGCTTTTGGCCTAGTTGTCTGACTCCGGCAGTCAGACATTATGAGAAGTGTATAACTTTTCCGGGAGGATTATTTAGCACTTTGTTCAGTCAAGGGAGAAGTTGCACCAGTATTTTACAGATTTCGTTGAGTGAAGAGCTACAAGAATGATAAAAAAAGAAGATGTAAAAGTGGGTGCAAGCTGCGCGCAAGAGGACGGCAGAGCAATTCGACTATGCACGTCACAGGGATGCTTTCGCATGGTAGCGCTATGGTACGCCCAATACATGTTGAAGAGACCCAGGTTCTTGACAGAAACTAACTGCCTATGGGACAGAATTTCATCAAGGGCTGTATATATTCCTGTTAGAGTAGGGGAACGCATTGACCTGCAGAGCTCAGAGTAACCTCTCCTGCACTCTAAGTAGTGATCGGTGTGAGAGATGATACATTCCGAAGCCAATCACTGACATGATATCACAGAGGGGGTGCAGGGACACTTACTGTCAGCCAAGGATGGGCCAGTCACAGGTGGAAGGCTTGCACCCCCGTTGACAAGAACTCCGCCAGATGCGGCAACGTCTGCGGCAGAAACTGGCGTGCCAGGAGGGCGACCAATGTTTCCTGCGCCGGCGGCTTCGGCCGGACAAGTAGGCGCTGCTTCCTTCGCCGGTGCCGCCTTGGGCCCGCACTCGTCGGCCGCTGCTGCGGGCTGAGGCTCAGTGGCGGCCTTATCCACTGAGGGAGCCCCGTTGCACTTCATGTCGGAACCCGGCCGAGGAAGGAGAATCTCGCGCTGCTCCCGCTCGAGAAGCCAACGGTTCTCTGTTTCCAAGTCACGCTCTTCACACTTCAATGCCTGCAATACGTAAAAGCACACAACGACATTTGGAACTTAAATGCAAAGCGGCATTTGGGCCAGTTGGAATAGGTTTATGCCGAGAAAAATTGCCACAGGGAAGAAGACATGGGATAGTCACTGCAATAGCCCAAAGAAAAGAGCTTGTTGAGTTGAGACTAACTGAAGTAAAGTGGTGTCAGTGGTAGAAAAGGGTACATAGGTTTGGGAGCAGGCAAAAGTGTGCTTAGTAGCAGGCTTGGAACATCCAGAAGGACGTTTTGAGGCAGGCTTGGAGCAGCCAGAAAGGCTTTTTCAAGCAAGTCTCGAGCAGTCAGAAAGCCCGTTCAGAGAATAAGTGGCAACGTTGCACAGCACTTGTGAAACGGAGTCCAACGCTGCAGTCAGCAAACACTAATAAGCTGAACTGTACCACAGCTCTATATATGTATTGCTATCAACAACACAACTCTCAAGATCTAAGAAATTGCCAGAATGACTGCTGATAGCTATCACTATCAATGTGAATAGCATTAATGGCAATTCAATGACACACAACATTATGAAAACATGCCCAGCCCCTCAGCGCTTGAACTAAATAAATCTTGAGGAAACCATTCTTACTGAGAAAGAACATCCAAGTCAGAACTGAAACATTCTGAACAGAATGGTGATACTTTTCTCTTTTGTTCTTCACACGGAACTCATTTGCCCCAGCGCGAGAAAAAGTTGAATTAGATGTGCTCTTTTGTTACGACCGGAGGCAGCCTCGATTTCAGAGAACACTTGGGGGCCCGGTGACGTAGTTGGCCTCCTTGTTAACAAATAACATAATGTGACCGCAAGAGCCAGTGATGTCACTGGCCAAGCTTGTGCTATGTAAGCTGTGTTGTCAGTACCGCTGTTTCATCTGCCATGTTAGGTGCTATGACTGCTTGTTTCCTCAATCATCAATCTACGTAGCTTATCTAGTGCGGTAATGAACTAAGGACCTGGAAAAAGCATAATAATTAGTCCAAAAAGCTCGATTCACTTCAAGAATCTCCCCAGTGGCTGAAATTTTGTTCTTGTTCTTTAACTAAGGCAATGTTTTCTGTGACGCTTGTGGCAGCCGCAGCATTAGGCAAGCTGAAACATTCTCGCTGGTTGATACAAAGGAAGCACTGAAATCACCAAATCTTCACTCGACAGCGGTGTGTAAGTGTAACATGTAAGTGATCAGATGTACACTTTATTGACTCTTACTTAGATCAGGTGAGTATTGCGAACACGACGTTGCTTTTGTACAAAGTTTTCTCTTTTTTTTTTTTCTGCCTTTCGCCGCTTTCTAGAACTAGAAACGATTCGCTCCTTACCTTATCTCCTTCTTTTCACGTTATTAGGCTAACCGTTCATGTAATTACTGATACGTATAGCTGACTCCCGTCTGAGGGCCACTGTCTTTTTCTATGTGTATTTAAAGTGGTCTTTTTTTATTTACTACCATAAAACATCAGCAAAATACAATACAGCCTTAAAGGCAGCGCCTGTCTATTCTTTAGCAGCTAAAAACTTTTTACGTTTAATTTTCATGTACTCCAACCGCCCGCGACGCATATGCTCAATGTAAGAGTCACATGGAAATAGCCGATTAGTAGTCGGAAATCAGGTGCGCGCAACTACCGTATTTACTCGAATGTAATGCCACTACGATTGCAACGCGAGGAGTGACTTTTCAGTGCCGAAAAAAAAGAAAGAACACAAATGTAACACGAGTAAAGTGGGGGGAAAAAGTACCGTTATTTGCTACACATGGTGGTGGCAAAGACCTCCCAGCTTCTAAATATGAAGTGAGTTTTGTTCATTCGTCGCTTTCATCACCGGTGGTCGAGCCCTTTTGTCACTTTCTTCCTGCCGAATGAGGTCATCCTTTGTGCCATCCATATAGTTCGATATGCAGCACTTTTTAAACGCGCGAACTATCATATCGTGTGGCAGGCCGTACCAAGCTGCGGACACACACTCAGCCGTTTTCACAGCACTAGGTCACTTTATCCTACCTGTAGGTGTCAAAGCCCGATCTTCTCGCATCCATTCTCTGTACAGCTGCCGCATTCTATCCATAAATGATTTGTTCAGGCAGACGTCTAATGGCTGCAGCACAGATGTCATACCTCCGAGAATAACGGCAAGCTGCGTCTGAGTTTCCCACAACAGCTTCTTCACTTTGGGTGTCAGGTGACCGCGAAATGAGTCGAGAACTAGGATGGAGGCGGGGTAGAGGAGCGCACCTGGCTGTCTGCACCACACAGTTTTGACCAAGTCAAGCATAAGAGGAGTGTCCATCCAACCTTTTTCTTGGCAGCGGATAATCACACCCCAAGGGAACAGCTCCTTCGGAATGGTTTTGCGCCGAAAAATGATGTATGGCAGCAACTTGCGCCCATCCGCCAAGCAGGCTAGCATCACGGTTAGCCGCGTCTTCTCGTTGCCTGTTGTCCTTATGCGAACTTGGGGGGCACCTGTTTCACTGACAGTCCTTGAAATAGGCGTGTCCAAGAAAACAGGAGTCTGATCCGCGTCGCCAATGTGCCCTAATGACATTGCCCTAATGGTAAATGCCCTAATGGCATTTGCGACGAGCAGCACAGGTCAAGCACATGGCGCTGAAACTCCACTAGCTTCGCTTCGCAATCTGCTGGTAGCTTCTGCTTTATCGACGTTGTTTGTTGGAGAGAAAATCATTTCTTCCCATGAGCTCTTGTGCCGATCCACGTGAAGCCTTAAAGTTCTCCCGCGGGGTTCCCATCTCTCGAACTACGTCTTGGGCTTTCCACTAAATCAGCTCAATGTTGACTCCAACAGGCAATTTCGCTGCTCAATCACAAACTTCACCACTTTTTTTTAGTTCTGTGTGACGGCCACGAGATCCACGGAAGCCTTTTCAGCCGGGCTCACTCTTGAAGAGTACTTCACACTGTAGCCTCCACCTATGGATAGTAGATTCCGCCACATCTAGCCGTCGAGCCGCGGCTGAGTTCCCGATTTCCTCAGCCATCAGTATTGCACTTCTCTCAAAGCAGGCTTCGTACTGAACTTGTCGCGCTGCCATTTGTTCGAGCCGAAATCGCGGAAGCACAAAGGAAATGAACCGCCCGCGAAACACGTTGCCATATGCATGTCGCAAACAATAGGATTCTATTAAATTCGATTCGATTTTGCCAGCGTGTATATGTTGCCAGCACAAGGTTGAAAGATCGCTAGGTTTGTCGTAGTCATATTAAGGAACCAATGGGGCGGCACCACCAAGGCACGATTTGAGGTGCTTCAATTATAACACGGACCCCCAAGTAACTTGAGAGAAATTTTGCAAAAAGGAACTTGAATTACATTCGAGTAAATACAATAGTAAGTTCACAGGAAACGTCAAAGTATGAGTGCGAACCACTCGAAATCAGCAAAACTCCGACACTTGCAGACACTCTGAAACCAACACTGTCAATATCGAGCGATACAGGAAAACGTTACAAGAGATCAAACGCGTGGAAAGACGGGTCATTCAAGGCACTAATCCTGCATAAGCTCGCAAGGTCACAAGTTCGAAACCACACAGGATGTTTTTTTTAATAGAAAAACTAGATTTTCAGACAATCAGGAAAAGAAGGTGAGGCGAGCTACGAGCCAGGTGAAGTTTGGAACTTATGGGAGGTCAGGTGGTTTTCTACAATGCTAATAATGTGCAACAGACCATCTACATAGAGATAGCGCAGCAGCCAAAGCATGCCATGACAAAATTTGGTTCGAATAGAGATGTCGAACCATTCCCAATTGTATAGCTACTTAAAATACCTGAGGAAGGAAGCGTAAAGTAGCCGACACCAGGAGGTATAACATGGAAAGAATTGAGCAGACTGTAAAAAGCGGCAGAAGCCTAAAAGCTGCACACGCAGACTTGTGCATAGGCAAAAATTGGATGTATGCATTGAGAAACAACGAAGGCAATGTCATAAACTCATAACTAATATGAATAGAATAGTCGAGATGGCGGAGGAGTTCTACAGAGAGCTGTACAGAAATCAAAAGAACCAGGATAATATTGTGAGAAACTATAATAGTCCAGGAAAATTCGACATCCTACCAGTAAAGACAGGAAAAGTAAGGAAAGCTCTAGAAAAAAATGCACAGAGGCAAAGCCGCTGGTGAGGATAAAGTAACAATGGACCTCCTGAAAGATGGCGAAGAAATTGTGTTAGAAAAATTAGCGATTTTATATACAAAGTGTCTCTTGACGGGAAAGGTGCCAGAATCTTGGAAGAACGCCAACATCATCTTAATCCATAAGAAAGGAGAAGTCAGGGACTTGAAAAATTACAGGCCGATCAGCTAACTCTCCGTTCTCTACAAACTATTTTAAAAAATAATTGCTAATAGAATTAAGACGATATTAGAGTTCAATCAGCTAAAGGATCAAGCAGGACTTTGTACCAGCTACTCCACAATAGACCATATTCATACTATCAATCAGGTAATAGAGAAATGCGCTGAATACAACCAACCCCTATATGAAGCTTTCGTAAATTACGAGAAGGCGTTCGATTCAGTCGAGACATCAGCAGTAATGCAGGCACTACGGAATCAGGGCATCGAAGATCTCTACATAAACATATTGGAAGAAATCTACAAAGGATCCACAGCCACCTATAGTTCTCCATATAGAAAGTGACAGCATCCCAATAAAGAAGGGTGTAAGGCAGGGAGACACAATCTCTCCAATGCTATTCACCGTGTGTTTACAGGAGGTATTCAGGACGCTAGGCTGGGAAGAGTTAGGGATAAGAATTAATGGAGAGTACCTTAGTAACCTGCAATTCGTTGATGACACTGTCTCGATGAGTAACTCGGGGGACGAATTACAGTCCATGATTACTGAACTGTACACGGAAAGCAAGAAAAGTAGGACTGCAAATTAATATGCACAAAACTAAAGTAATGTACAACAATCTTGGCAAAAAACAGCACTTCATGATACGTGGAGAGACACTGGAAGTTGTGAAAGAATATGTCTACTTAGGACAGGTACGTAGTAACCGCAGAGCCGAACCATGAGAGTGAAATAACTAGGAGAATAAGGATGGGGTGGATCGCATTCGACAAGCATTCTCATATCATGAATAGTAATCTGCCACTAACCCTAAAGAGGAAGGTATATACCACCTGCATCTTGCCAGTACTTACCTACGGAGCAGAAACCTAGAGGCTTACAAAGAGAGTTCACATATATTGAGGACGACGCAGCGAGCGATGGAAAGGAAAATGATACGTGTAAACATAAAAGACAAGAAGAGAGCAGAGTGGGTCAGGGAACAAACAGGTGTTAAGGATATCATAGTTGAAATCAAGAAAAAGAAATGGCCATGGGCCGGACACGTAGCACGTGGGCCTTCTCCGGATTGCCAGAGAAGACAAACGCATGAAGGGCACACAGAAAGTTAGGAGGGCCGAGGAGATTAAAAAGTTTGCGGGTATAATGTGGCAACGGAAAGGACAACACTAGGCTGATTGGCGGATCATGGGAGAGGCCTTTGCCCTGCAGTGGGCGTAGTCAGGCTGATGATGATGATGATGATGATTTAGATCAGGCAACGCTGCGATCAAAAAGCATACCAATCTCCCGTACGAATGTTGGAGTGCCGAAGCAGCTACCTATCTGTCCACTACGCATTGCGACGACCCCAGCAGTAGTTCAGTTTGTCTGTAGACCTGCTAATATAAACCAGAGCTGTTTACGGCAACAGCAGCTGCGGAACCGGTAGCAACATCTTGTGGTGTTTTGCCCGACTACAATTTTTTTTCTCCATTTTTTTCATCATACCGCTATTCCTGTAGAAAAAAAAAAGACATCAAAGTACTATGAGTCGATAATTATCTCATAGTCAAAACTTTACAGGGAGTCAGTAAACTGGTGAGTTGGTGCAATGTTATTTTTGTGAATCTCTGGTTAAGCTCTGTGTCAACTGGTGTTGTTACAAGTATAGTCCATCTCTGACATACCTCCAGTAATTCAACCAGAACTCATGTTGTACATTGCTTACAAGAATGCCCCGCTCGACAACCTCTTCATTTTTCCAGCTTTTTCTGATTTGGCATTTTCACATACTTTAAAAATGAGCTGATACAGTTTTTAGACTTTAATTGTGGCTGATATAGTACAGATGCTACCTTTATGTTGCCATCGGCGCAATGCAACAGTGAAATTGTGTCTGAACTTTTATGTCCCTCTTACATTAACATCTTTGTGTATATATGTTGTGGTAAGGTATGGTATGGAAAACCTTAACCTAGGTCCAACGAGGAGTGAACTAGCACATAGCGGGCCGCTCCCACGTCAGGACTGATAGGCCTAACCTGTCCGCCACATCGTGGGGTAACAAAAAAAATACTAGTCCCATCAAACAGCAGGTGTACCTGTGCCTGTGCCTGGACAACGGGGAAGAGGTGCGATGAGAGGAAGGTGTGCAACTGTTTCTCCCGCGGGTTGGAGGACTTGCGGAACTGCTTGAGGAAGCCCTGCCAGTCCGACACTGTCAGGCAGACACAGTCCCACTCCCGGCTGCGTTGGGGCTTCTTGGGGCACAGTTCACGATACAGGCGCAGGTCTGCAAGGGTGAAAGTGTGTCACGGAAGAGCTCTATGCAGTTATTTCAAATGCCCACGCAAATGGGTCACAAAGACAGCCAGTTCAGTATAAAATACAGTAAAGTCCATGAAAAATTTCTCATCAAAAATAGGATTACTAAGAAGGGTACCAGTTGGAATAACATAGAGCTAAAGTAGTTGATAAGTATTCGCTCTAAAAGGCTGGCAGTGCAAACATGGACACACGAAAGAAACCAAGACCACTACCTATTGTACTCCTGAACTGCCCAGATAGCGCGGTTTTTACGGGAGCGCGTATTTCCACTCTCATTCAGCCACTCACCATTGGTGGCGCTATCTATAACCTGTTCGTCTGCTACTCTGCGGCCATCTGTATAGCGTTAGAATAATAACTGAATGCATTCTGCGACAAACTAACCACATATATGACTTTTTCTGCAAACCTAACACCATTGAATAGCTTAGTTGACCCTCTACCCAAGTATTGGTCGACTAATGCGAGAAGGTGTAGACTTGCATAGAGAAGGATGGCCTATAGGGCAGCCTATGTGGTGTCATGTCCTTTCAAATTCAAATAACTTCTGAATCACTTTTAGCATAGTTACTTTTGAAGAATATTACATTTATGCATAATAATTACACAATATGAGTCCTCTGTCGGCCAAAACATTACCACAAACGCTGAACCTGACAGTTCGAAATGTTGTAGGCCCATGTGCTCAGATTTGGGTGCACGTTAACGGAACCTCAGGTGGTACGAAACTTTCGGAGCCCTCCACAACGGCGTCTCTCATAATCATATGGTTGTTTTGGGACGTTAAACCCCACATATCAATAAATCAATCATCAAGCTGACAGTTCACTGACTAGCGCCACGCCGCTCATAGATTACGTCCCTAGCAGTAGAAGATAAGAACCAGAACATGGGTGCTGGAGAGGGGACATCTGGGCAGGGCAGGAGTACAGTAGGTCATACTGAAGACACCACGAACACTTTTTTGGTGTCTTCGACTTTTCTTGTGTCCGTGTTTGCACGCGCAGTCATTTAGAACGAAGGGCACTGGTTTGGGAGGAGTTGGCAACAATTCACGACCAAGGGTATTCACAATAAAGGGGTCTTGAAGCACATCTTGGGCTCCACACTAAAAGTCGTGATAGTGACTTTGAAAGTCAGCACAATTTTCTACTCTGTCTTATTTTTCCATTAGTTCTCGCGAATGAAACTTGCTATCATGAACCCAGAACAACTAGTCCAAGCTTCTACACTTGTAAACTAAAAGTCTGTTGGAATGTGTTCGACACCTCCCAAATGTACAGACTCAATTGAGCCTGTAAATCTGCGTGAAGTGATGCACTGGTGAGGCTACGCTGCTGAAAGTGTTTCTGTATGTCTCAAGCCAGAACTAAAGCCCACTGTGACTGCAATTGCTGAGAGTACAAAGCACACTGTGCTACTGTTTTACACCTAGACAGATATTAATTCAAGTGAGTGCAGACTGTATTCAAACAAATTTTACACCAGAAGTACCAAACTTCATATGAACTTCATTATTGTTAGGCAATGGTTATTCTTTCACTGATATCACAGCACATCTAAAATGATTATTTAAGAAGGGTAAGAGCGCCCTGAATACGAATACACAAAGAAAGGACACACACACGCACACATAGCCTACTTTCAACAGTTCATTTCTGTGATCACAACACTACATATAGGGCACAACGATGAGCACAACTCCTGCGCAGAAGTAACCGCAACATTACTACGCATCATAACGGACACCAAGGAAATCAAATTCCTTCTTTGTCAGCGCTATAGAAGGCACACTAACACACCTGTCACCCAACTTTTCAATCTCTCCTGCCTCTATTATCTCGCATAGTAAGCTGATTCCTATTTCTTGACGAAACCCCGCACGTGTCGAACAGGGGCATACAACCACACTTCTTACAATGTATTGCTAAGAACCCACCTGCCCCGTTTTTTACATTGTAATGATGCGCGCAGCAGCCGGTCATTCAAGCAACGACCGGTTTGTCCGATGTAGCAGCGACCACAAGACAGCAGCAGGCAAGTACAGGACACACTCAGCGCAATCAACAAACTTAATTTTGTGATTAGTTTTGCACCCCCGATTTTCGTTTGCATTTCTCGTCGTAATCTTGCACAACCTTTCCAACTTGTTTGGCGCTGAAAAGAGCACGCACACTTTGGCCCGCACGGCAATCTTTTTGAGATTACGTGAAACCGCAGTGCACGTAAGATAACATCCTTGTGCGATTCCATTGCTCCAATAATCTCGTCGCATTTCGGTTTTTGTTTTTGCTGTCCCCCAAGATACATTCAACTACTGGAGACAAGCAAAGCCTGGGGGAACCCAGGCATCCAGCAACCTCTTCCTTTGCTCATCGAAACTGAATTGGACCATATGGTGACCCGACTTCGTTAGGGCATTCTTGAAGCAAAGCTTTGTAATTGCCCTCTTAACAATTTGGAATGTGCTGAGTGGTAGGGAAGAAGGGGTTTACTTGCACGAGGTTCATAATGCCAACAGGTATGATCGCAGTCGAACGACAGGCGAAGGTCCAGATAACTCATGGTGCCATTCTGCGGAAGCTCATGCGTCACCTCTAATGGCTCAAGACAATCCTTGATTACTGGTAAAGGGCATTGAACTCAGCAACTAGCCACTCGGTTGGACAATTCACAAAAAACAAGTAATCATCTACATATCTAAAAGTTCGGACTACCTCATTACCGTTCAACCTTTCCGACAGCTTCACACAAAGCTCAGCTAAAAACAAGTCACTCAGTCGGGGAGCCAGGCAAGAACCAATGCAGATGCCTCTTTTCGGCAGCTGTGCATACACACGCACTTTATCCTGGAGTCATCTAAAATGACTCCAGGATAAAGTGCGTGTGTATGTGATGCAAAAATATGAAAAGTACAAACTCCTGTTACTGTATTCTTGAAGGGCCAGTAAACAATTGCGCGGTCTAAAACGTGCAATGAAACAATAACTGCACAATAGTATAATGTGAACATGCTGCCACAAGCAATTTACAAGTGTAGTAATAAGGAAGTTACAGGGTATAGTACAAATCACTATGGCTGGTTCCGGTTTCTAGCTGGGCCTTTCCACCCTCCTCGGCAGTCAAGAGGGGCAGGCGCAGCCCAATTTCATGACTACATCAACTTAGGCAATTTAACACAATGTTAGTGTTTGCATCATGGGCATACAGCCAATGACCGCGCAAAGCTTCTGCATATATCACTCCTATCAGAGTGGCGCTATGATGAGGTGTGGTAAATGTGAGGCTAAAAAAACAGTACTGCAGGGACAAGGCACTATTTTGTAGGGCAGAGGACCAATTGACAATGCCAGTGATACGTATAGATGGCCATGCTCAAGATTACATCACTGTACGAACGAGGAGGATTGGACAGCCGCCTGTAGAAGGGCGCCAAAATCACGCATTTGCGGGGCACGCAGTACAGTGATTGCTCCGGCCTTCGACATTAATTAACAAGCTTAGTATGCTTTTCGGTGGCTGTTATATTGACCCTTCAAATCGTTACAAAACAATTGTAATAAAAAAGGCACGAGCAATCCTGTATTAAAAAACTGCACTTATATACTATATGAAAAAATAAGCCACAACATTCCCTCTCAGCATTTTTTTTTTTTCAGAAAATGAAAATGACGAATCACGCACTCACCTTCGAGATACCAGTAAACATTGTCAAGAGCGTCTTGGCCTACACGAATGCCACGCTGGAGAAAAGAAAACAGAAAGACTGGAGCCACAAGATACTTTAATCCATGTCCCACAAAGTGAGTTTCAGAATATAATTTGTAAAACTGGTTGAAGAGACGCTACATATTTAGGTGGCAGCATGGCAGTACATGGAGAGTTAGTTGGCAAAACATATTTTTAGGCTTAGAATGTGGGAATCAATAGTGCCCTCCCCTTTGGCACCTTGTTTTCCAGCTAGTGCGTGTGCTGGCCTCGCGTGGCTCAAGCACACTAGAACATGCCACTGTTCACACCTGTACTCATTGACTGCCAGTGACAGCCTCTGACACTAACAGTATGTTGTGAAGATTCAAGCTACACATTACAAGTTCTCATTGAAGATATGCAGAAATAAAATCCCTTTCAGCTATCTTTGTAATGTGGTCCTGAATAGTATATATTCTCATGTTATATGTGCCCGCACGTCTATGACAATCTAGAGTCTTTATTGCGCTGATAGTACTTTCTATGGATTACAACCTCGTAGACACAAGTTTCCTATTGCACTCAAAAAAACGGCTCCATAATGTAGGGAAGCAGTCCTTCATATCTAAGTTGCACAGTACTGACTGAAAATTCTGCCAACGAAAAAGACAGCTCACCAAATCCTCAGCGTCGAAGTGGTCGTCCAAGAATTCAGACAGCTCTTCTCCCTGAGACTCGTACGCATAGTCCAGCAACCACTTGACGGTCAGGAGCTGAGAGGGAACAAGCAAGAAGACTCAAGCATATGCTGCGAAGAGCAGGTGTTCAAAGCACCAGACCTGCAAAACGGCACACACACACACACACACATCCCAAGAAAAGGGGTGTAGTTTGCATTTGTGGAGGCGAATCCTTGTAAGAGGAAAAGTGTGACATGTCTTTTGGGTGACTCAGATACCTTTGCGCTTGACAACAAGTAACAAACATATCCTGAAAGAATACAAACACGGCTCATACAGAAGCTCATGAGCATATTACGCTGCATGTTTTACTTTTCCATGCAAACCACTGTTGTCACTAGGGGTGAGAAATCTTTGATCAGGAAATGCTGCTGGTGCCCATGTTTCGCCAAGTGAACTTTTCTTTATCCAGGCAGCAACTTGTCAAAAAGACTAGTCAAAACATAGGCTCCCGTGACGCTCTCCGCTCAATGATGTCTCAACGTTTCAAGAGTCTACCTTCCCTCGAAGTTTGGTGTGAAGGGGTCTAAGACACGTCCACAGATAGCCCCACCCACGAACATCTTGTTTTCCAAAGCTATAGCCTAGTGTGACTTGGCCTTCCAGGTAATGACACACTGCAATACGAACCACAGGTTTTGTGTGGGTTGCAAATGGGAGGTAAACCGTCAGCGGTGAAGGCAAACCTTCACTGTTGACCACACTGACTAGTAATATCTAATATATTTGTTGTATAGCAGTAAAAATGCTATTTAAAAACTGCTCTGAGGTTTTCTTTTTCTTTCTTTAATACTAAGTTACACAGACAAGACGGATATGATACGAGACAAACGCCAATGGTATAGAGACAATATGTTGGCTATGGGTTCGCTTCACTATGGCAGGCAACTTCTATGTGTATTAAAGAATACCAGACTGTCACGAAGTTACAAAAAAGATCAAGCTCATCATCCAGCCTGCTCATCAAATTTTTCTGTTTACTGTCTACAACTAACATGATTAATCAGACAAAAGGTTCACTCCCTCAAGTGTACGCAACCACATTAAGCTTTTTGACACATATATAATGAAGACCACAGAACATTCACTTATTGCGAACGAGGCACCTATATTCGGCACTGAAACACCAATTCTCTTGTTTTGTGTTTTTTTTTTAGTTGGCGAGTATACAACCCCCCCAACCATGAATTTTTTTTTTCACGCCACACGAGTTTTTGTAAAACCCTAGGCTTCAACAAATCAAGTGTGCGGAAAAATAATTTGTTGATAATGTGTCTATAGACGGCAAAGCTAAACATAATAGGGCATATAGTACGACATTGCAACCAACGCTTGAACATTAAGAAGCCTCGTGCACTTATAGCATCCATCATGATCGATTAAGTCATTTTGCCACCACATATAAAACTGATTCCACTCTGTGCACAACGATGTCATCATTACTTACCAACTTCACTACTCAAACTCAAGCTAGTCTTCCGTTGCCACGAGTAGCTAGTTACGAAACTATCATGTGCAGTTTTAGTCGAACGCAAGCAAGATATGCCATGGTTAATCACAGTGAACTGCTTTAGGGGCATTTTCATGAATCGCATCTAAGAACAGCCAAGGGCTTAATTTATTCTGTAGCTTCTCTAATTCGCAGAAAACAATGCTTGAATAGTGGAATGTACAAAATATGAACACACCTTGTCTCCTGGAGAGAGGTCCCTCCAGGGTGCCTTGGTGAATTGAACTTCCTTTTCTTGCAAGAGTTCAGCAAGGCTTTCTTCAAAATTAGAGATCCTAAGAGCCAAGCAGGAAAAGGGAGTGATAATGTGAACTTTTCAATATTAAAGGGGTACTGATACAAAAATTTTCAATTGTTGTTTTCTAGCGTAGATGAGTTCAACTTTCAAGAGCCTAGAAAATGTATTGTTAACATTGAAGAGCACCCTTAAAAAGTAGTTACAGTATGTCATTAAAAGCTTATGTCGGTTTCCCCTACACCCTCACATAACAAAATGGTATGAGCTTCTCATCACGTGGTTGCACAAGATAGTGTAATGTTACATCAGCGATGTACCAACAGCTATTTTGAATGTTTTGACGACGTGGCAAGCAGCCATTTTGGAAGTTCTGATACCTGGCTTCATCATAACTAGCCAGACTATTGTGTGAGGTCACTAGAATTAATTCTATAGCCTGACGTCAAATTACTGTTGAGGTCGCGAGGTGCACCATGAGAAAATTGACTTTAATATCAAAATAATATATCGTATTAGCATTTACTAAGCTTCAAAATTGCTCAGAGCTACAATTAACTAAAATACTATAAATCTTTATGCATTTTTAACATGCATTCTTCAAGGTGAGCATTCTGGTTGAATTGGGCAACACGATTCCAAATATTCCTACAATTAATTCGCAAGTTTCGTTGCGTGTCAACACCAAACCTATTTTTGAGTCCTTTCATTGGCAATGTCAAACTTGAATGCACCAGCCTGCCATTTCTCTGTGCAGACAATGACTATGACCATGAATTTGTAATTCTTATGCGTGCTTCTGTACCAATACAAGGAATACTTTCACACAGCTCCAGCAACAACATCCTCCCTACCAACGTGAGATGTAAAATTTGTGTACACAAGGCACCACTGCAACTGACATTGATTTGTTCATTTCTTTATTGAAGGGTGTTACGACCGTCATCAATATTGAAGTTTTTCGGCCTTTGTGAAGGGGACGAAAATATTTCGAACGCATTCCAAGCGAGGGTGTGCTGTCAAGACGGGTTGGTTTCCTGTCAGCAAAACGTGAAAAGGGGCCAGGACTGATCTGCGCAAGGAAGGCACACGAGCCAAGAAAGGCCATTGTAAGCTTGACTCTATGCAAAGTTTTCCGGGCAAAGGAGGATATTCACAGCTAAGCCACAGCTGCTAGCAAACAACTAGGAATAGAATGTGGGGGTGAAGAAAAGGATAATGCACTATGTGCTGCAACCCTTGCGGGAGCTCGCCTCGATGACGAGGGATTAGTCGACCACTCCTTCTTCCCCCTTTCTCCATAGGATCAGCTGAATCAGATGGCATATTTTGACGATATGCGGGCCCTTCACGACATTGTCCTACCCAAACGGTCAAGCAAATTTGACATGTGTACTGGCAGCCGGTTTTTCGGACCTCACCCAGCTTCCTGAAGAATCCTGGAAGCCAATGTCGTCGGGCGTGCGCGAAACTTGGTGACGTGAGTTTGACACGTGTGTTGGAAGCTGGTTTTTCGAACCTCACCCAGCTGCCAGAAGAATCTTGAAAACCAAAATCATCGGACGTGAGCAAAACTTGATGACGTGTGCGAAAATGTCGGTGCAGTGCTTTGGCGATCATATTTGGGGATTATGCGGACTGTGCCCTCTCCACATGCATTGTGTGGTGTCTTTCCCCTCCTTCGTGGGTGGAGCATCTAGACCATAGAGCGCCGTAGTGGCAACGCAACGCTATATAAACGGAAGACTCTTGTGTATTTTCAAGTTCTAATGCTCTACAGTTCAACAGTTTTCATGTAAAGTTTTTGACTTCTCGTTCTCCTTCTTAGTTACTAACCATGTAAATAAATTGTTGTCGTTTCTACGAGCCCCTCATCTGACTTGTTCGACGATGGGTCCTAGGACGGGGGCCCGCTACCAAACTGAGACCCGCAGGACCCGGAGTCGCAACTACTGGATGGCAGCGGTGGGATAGCGTCAACCCAGGTCGCAACCACTGGATTCAGCGGAGAGATGGCGTCAACCCAGGTAGCAACGACTCGACGACAGCAGTCAGATGCTACGACCCCATCGACTTCGAGAGGCGATTGGACGACAACGATCGGATGATCCGAGCTCATCGACTTGAGAGGCAGCCGAACGACACTTCTGGTATAACGCGAGGTCATCGACTGCGAGAGGCAACCGGAAGGCACTGCTGAGATGCACGACGCTGCAGGTACAACTGCGAGCCGGGTGAGTGCAGACTTTCTCTGTTAAACTTTACCAGGCATTTACTAATGTGCGAGTAAACGCTGGTAGGGAGAATAGCTTTTTTTGGTCATTGTGTAACTGGCGTCAGGCAGATTGTGAGATAGCTTGATTAAGCTATAGTCTGTGGGTGACGGCAAGGTTAACAGTGACAGAGCTATTTTAGTCATCAGGTTAACAGATAACTTGCATCGGGCAGATAATTGTGAGATAGCTTGTTTAAGCTATAGTCTGTGGGTGACGGCAAGGTTAACGGTGACAGGGCTGTTTCGGGCAGATAATTGTGAGATAGCTTGTTTAAGCTATAATCTGTGGGTGACGGCAAGGTTAACAGTGACAGAACAGGATTCCGTGTAAGAGCTTAAGAAAGCTTTTGCAGACTAAGATAACAGGTAACTTGAGGCAAGGCAGAAAACTAGGGCTGTCGTTGTTGTCAGGGTTAATTACCTGCAAGACAGGAATCATTTATAGAACAGAGAACGGTTCCGGAAGCAGTCATGAATCTGAAAGCCCTGCGAAAACCCGTATTGCTAGCGATCGTAGAGGAGTTGAAACTGAATATGTCGGACTCCCCAGAAAGAACAGAACTGATCGAGCGGATCGTCGGGACACGGACAAGCGATGAGGACCTCTCAGAGTATGTCGAGAGCATTCAATAGGCAGAAGCACGGAGAAAAGGGGCAGAAGCCCAGGCAGAGGCCCGGAGAGAAGAGGCAGAAGAAGCCGAAAGGATACGCATACACGAGGCTAAAATACGAGCTTTAGACGAAGACATTGCAAGGATGAATCGTATAACTAGGGCACAGCATCGGAAGCGTTTTTGGTCGTGTATATGTGAAGTATGTGTAGAGCCCGAAAGGTGCGGTGAAGTGGCGAGTACGGTGCAGTGTGAAGTCACCGAGAAAGCCGCTGTTTGCGAGGTACCACCCGAGAAATGTACGCGTCTCTATCAGTGCGACATGCAAAATGATCCTTCGGCGGAAAGAAAAGAGCAACAAGTCGTTGTTACTGAAATTGCGCCTAGGGAAAGTACGCGACTCTTCGAGGGTGCGAAGGTAGTGCATGTAGAGAGCGGGACGGGGGATGGTATACAAACTGTAGCAAGTCCAAAAGGTGTTCTATGTGAGACCGAGGCTGGTTCCAGTCGCCCTGGTAGGGTCATCGAACAGATTGATGAGCTGGAGACCACGCTCGAGCCTCAGCAAGAGAATGACCTTTCGGATGTTGAAAGAGAGGACAACGAAGATAGTCCTGAATGTAGCGAAGACAAAACGCTACTGAAACCCGACAGTAGTGCCAGCAAGGGCGAGCTACTGTTGAAAGGATTTCCTACAGATAGAGTGGGAAATGTTTCAGAGGGTGAGAAGGTACATTGTGAGGCTGTCGTAGATGTACAAACAGGCACAAATTCGGTGGAGGATCGTTTCGAGAAAAAGTCTAATCCCAGCAGCATGAACAGAGATTGTGAGTTGTTAGAGACATGCCTCGTGCAGGGGCACGTAAACGATCGGCCGAACGGTAAAAACTACCCGGAAATCGAGCAGGACTCTGCTTTCCAAGAGTTGAGATTGTGAGTTGTTAGAGACATGCCTCGTGCAGGGGCACGTAAACGATCGGCCGAACGGTAAAAACTACCCGGAAATCGAGCAGGACTCTGCTTTCCAAGAGTTCAGATCTGTGGAGGGCCCAGAGTCTGGTTTTGTGAGGGGTAGTGCAGATAAATTAGCCCGTCGGAGCAATGGAGCGGGGAAACCAAAGGGCAAAGGCTGCAAAAAGGGTGGTGCACAGGCACATCTGAACTGTAGGGTTGGCGATGACGCAACCAGAGAAGTTTGTAACAATCAAAGAAAGGTTGTACGTAAGCGTCACCGCAAAAGAAGGAAGCGGGGACGTGCGACACCACAAAAGGTGGAGACAGAGGGCACGCCGCAGCGAAAACGGAAAGGTTGGCCATCGGGCAATTCAATAAAAAGTCCTTTGACGCATAGGGTCAGCTGAAATTGGCAAGAGAGGAGTAGCGGAAAGGGACACGCATCCTCAAGAATGAAGGCAAGGTTGAAAAGCACAGACAAGTTCCTAAAAGAAAGGTTGTTGGTCCTAAGTTCAAGGTGGAACCAACTGACAAAGGACAATGGCGAGTCTTTCATCCGCACTTCAGGAATCTTCGGTGTTACGAAGAAAGCCGCTCAAAATCACGATTGAGGCGAGATAGCAAAGTTGGGCTAAGAGCTCGCGCTCATTGTGGCATCTGGCGATCGCGAAAACGGCAGAGAACACGACCGCCACTGGCAAGGCTGAAAGCGTGAAGGTTAACTGCAAGCTTTTCGCAGAATGCGACCTGCAGAGTTCTGGAAAGTAATTATTTGAATATTCTTCCACTTTTGATCCTTTGGAGTAAAGTTTTCTTTTGTGAGGAAGGTAAAAAAAAAACTGGTTTCAAAGGGTTCGTGCCAAATGCGGTATGTTGTTTTTGTAAACATTTGCAAACAAACGCACATTTAGAAGATTTTTAGATGGTACGGAAGCGTACGTTTGGTCGGGAAATATTACAGCACTCTATAAGTGCGAATAGAGCTAACGCACCTGAAGGAACCCAGCGTGTTCTTTATCCAAGGGGCTGGCATGATAATGTAACATTAACCAAACAAGACCATTACGCTAGGTTTAGTTCCGTCCCTTTGGTTTTTGATCGAATGCTTAAGTATCGTGCGATAGTTTAAGCGGAGCGTTACATGTTACCGAAAGTCGAGGTTAGAGCGACATTTCGGACAGTTAGAAGATGCAGATGAAT